GCTAAGGGTACTGCTAACGGTGCCGCTAACGGTGCCGCTAACGGTGCTGCTAAGGTTACTGCTAATGGTGCTACTAACGGTACTGCTAACGGTGCTGCTAACAGTGCTGCTAATGGTACTGGTAACGATGCTGCTAACGGTGCTGCTAACGGTACTGTTAATGGTGCTGCTAACGGTGCTGCTAACGGTACTGCTAACGGTACTGCTAATGGTGCTGCTAATGGTACTGTTAATGGTGCTGCTAACGGTGCTGCTAATGATACTGCTAATGGTGCTGCTAACGGTGCTGCTAATGGTGCTGCTAACGGTGCTGCTAACAGTGCCGCTAATGGTTCTACGAGTTGGACTGAGACTGTTCTGCTTGTCTTCAGATGAGGATTCCTGCCATCCAGAATGATTTCAGCTACTACAGACGGACCATCAGCCGAAACCGGCTGAACAACATGAATGTAAGTTATGAAGGAAAGGTCACTTTTTATACAAGCCCAATTCCAAAAATGTTGAATGTGTGAATGCAAGGATTTATTTTATTCACAATAAACTTGGAAACATCAAATTATTAAATTAAGAAATGTTACTGTGTTTGGAAAGAAACTAAGTTCAGTTGAGTTTGATGGCAGCAACGCAGCTCAAGTTGAGACAGGTTGATACATATGAAAAATCTGGAGGAGCATTCTGTAATCTGTTGGAAGTAAAGGTGGGCTCAGGTTCAGCAGTTTGTGTAAAACAGTCTAAAACTAGCTTGGTTCTGTTGTGGACATGGCTGCCTGGAAACCTCAGATCATCGTCTAAACACAACGGGCCTTCGTTTGTTGCATTTCCATCTCAACCTTCTGGAGTCACCTCGTCTTCTAGCTTGTTGCTATGAAAGAAACGTTTTAATGAAATATTAAGGGGATGTGTGTTCTGTGTTCACTTCACACTTCAGAGATGGTATGAAGCCAATAAAACGTGTAATCACTGACCTGTGTCGGTCAGTGTTTCTAACAGGACATTAAAATGAAGGGAACAGACACCGTCAGTGTTTGACACTCTGGTTTGCACTGCAGCTGGACATTGAGAACCAAGTCAACAATGAGATGGCTAACAAGATGTCTCTGTTCTACGCTGAGGCCACGCCCATGCTGAAGACACTCAGCAACGCCACCACAAACTTTGTCACTGAGGTGAGAGCACAACGGTACTGGACCACCTGCGAACAGATCAGTCTTAACAAACGCCACTGGCCTTACTGGATTCTACGTGTTTAGTTTAGGGAAACCAATGATGTTGAACAACGTTAAGTCAGGTCCTCTGCACCAGAGGTGTGATGCTTTGTACTGCTAATAGTTTAAAAAATGTCAATAAGATTTATTTTTTATCTTGTTTCTTTATAGAACAAGACTCTTCCTTTGGACAACACCACAGACTGTCTCAGCACCATGGCCAGCGTCTGTAAGGTCATGCTGGAAACACCGTGAGTTTGGGTTTACAGTGTTTTATACACCGTGATGACTGCAGCTGCTTATTGTCCCGTCACTAACTGTGTGTGTGTGTGTGTGGGGGGGGGCTTCTGTTCGTCCATCCTGTGAGTTGGATAATTGGAAAAAGAAGGATACCGACCTCCATGTTGCTGTGTGGCTGCAGCTAGACATAAGAAAGGTCACCTTCAAAACTTGTCACCAGGTCAAAATTTAAGATGGCCACCGTCTTAAATGGTTCATACAAGATGACTGATGTACGAAACCATAAATATGTTAACTGGCCACCCTATCATTTGAGGAAACTATCCGTTTTGGTTTTTATATTTCGTAAAAGATCATTTTCCTCAAATGGTTGGGGTGGCCAGAGATTCACCAGTGGTGGTCAAGGCCACCAATGGTCACCCCCCGGCTCCGCTGTTGCTCCTGGTGGTGAATAAAATGTCTCCCTCCACTCAGCAGGATCCATCACTCTGTTCTGTCTCTGTTCTTCTGCACAGTGTAACTCCACATGTGACCCTAGAAAACATGCTTTTTTTGCTGCAGATAGTGCGAAAGACCAATGTTTTTTTCCTGAGCAGCTAATCTGCTCTTCACCTCTCCCTGTCTACTTGGTGTGCTGAACGTCTCCTGCACCTCCTGCAGAAGCAGGAAGGAGGGGAGTGCAGCTGAGGGGCTGGGTTTGAGTTCAAGGAGGAAGGAGTGGGAGGAAGAGACAGCAGGAGGATTTTAAAGTATAAAACTATATCGTTCTATATCGAGATGGTTTCAACTTATTTGTCAAAAACTATATCTCGATATTTTTAAAATACCCAGATATGGTCAGCTCCAGTACGACTTACAAGGCGGAGCGACGTGTACGGTGGAAAATACGGTACTTCCATAAACAGTCCAGTCCAGAGAACCTTCCACACGTGCTCTTTTCAACCCCTGAAGGACAGAAGCTTGTTTAGAAGCAGAACTAGTTCTTACTGTTGTCTCCGTGTCGTCCTCACCTTCTGATCCCGTCTTCTGCGGCCTTTTGGTGTTTTCAGGGAATACTCCAGTCGTTTCAGCAGCGAGGACACGCTCTTGTTCTGCATGAGGGTGATGGTGGGCGTCATCATCCTTTATGATCACGTGCACCCTAACGGTGCCTTTAACAAGTCCTCCAAAATAGATGTAAGTAGATTGCTCTTCCTAGTGTGGACAGGAGACACCGTGTCTCTGCGCTGGACACGACTCTTTGTTTCTTTCAGATGAAAGGCTGCATCAAAGTCCTGAAGGAGCAGCCGGCAGAGAAGGTCGAGGGCCTCCTGAATGCACTCAGGTAGGTGGAGTCCCCTCGTTCACTGATGACCTCATACTCTCTGTTTCTCTAAGGTCCACGTGGTTCTTGTCTCGTCAGGTTCACCACAAAACACCTGAATGACGAGTCCACTCCGAAGAACATCCGGACGATGCTCCAGTAACGGTTTCTTTGTTCAATCCAAGCAGAAAGGAAGCGGCTCGTGCGCTGACCTCACATAAGATGTACATGTTTACATTATTTAAAAGACACGATGTTAATAGTTTTGTGTACTTTGGAAAGGACTCTGAGGACAGAGTCCTGCTGTCATATACTGTTTGTAGAACACTGAGCTTCTTCAGAAGCACCTTGAAGTAGATCCAGTCTCCGTCAATGAAACGTGTTCATTTAAATCTGATCTATGTTGGGGACAGTTTCTGTCCAGACTGGTTGCTAGTTGTAATCCAGACTATCGTACAAGAGGAAGATGATCAGCACAGAATGTGCTCTGAGAACAGCACGCACGTAAAGAAGCCACTTTGCAGCGTGGTTCTGTGAGACAGGCCTACATATACATATCTTACCTGTTGCAGATGGCTCCTTGAATGACCCGAGTGTAAAGAAACAAACGTTTGACAATCTCTCATCATGAAATGGCTCCAAGGTGTTCTTCATTCAAACACTGTTTCATAAGCCGTCGCTGCTTTTACATTTCACCATCTAATAATAATAACAATAATAGTAATAGTAGTAATAAAAATAATAATTGTAGTAATATATGTTTTTTCATTTACCATTTATTTATCCAGGTAGTCTCATTGAGCCACGAGAACTCGTTTTCAAGAGAGACCAGTTTAGGGAGCACATGGGGGTTAAGGGCCTTGCTCATGGGCCCAGGGTGGGGGTAATGAGGGTGGGGGCAGGCGTGGGTGCTTCACCTACCCCACCCACATTTTTGATGTTGTCGGTACCGGGGCTTGAACTGGTGATCTTCCGATCACAGGCCCACCTTCTCTAACCTCTGCGCCACCACTCACTAATAATTCAATTCAAAAATACTTTATTAATCCCAGAGGGAAATTAAATAATAATAAATAATAATGTGTTATGTGTCATCATTGTATGGGAACATACAATGGTCATATTGGCTCTCTGCATTTAACCCATCCACCACCAGGTGGTGCAGTGGGCAGCTATTGGAAGCACCCGGGGAGCAACTGGGGATGAGGTGTCCTGCTCAGAGACGCCACGAGAAGCATTATTAGCAGCAGCAGCTAGCTGTAGCAGCCCCTGTGCTGCTGAGGGTCAAAGTAAGGATCAATTTAATGACGACAGCTGAGCTGTTTGATGCAACAGAACCTACTCTGATCTGGACCCGGCCTTTAGCAAGTCCAAACTGGAGTCTGAACAATCCATCTGCAGCAGGTAAGATGATGACGTCTCATAACTTCTGTTCTAATGACATTAGTTTGGCTGTGAAAAGATCATTCAGACGAACAGAGACTTCATTAAAAGTTTCACTTCCAGCTTAAAAATCTGTTTGTACCAAAATGTTGTGAGAAGAGATGATTAAACCAGCGACTGATCCAAGTCCATCAGCTTTTCTCTGCACGTGTGAGGCTTTCTTTAAAAGAAAAAACCCCAAATATATATTTAATTTTATATAAGTTATGGTTTGTTTTGTTTTTAGTAGAACAAAGATGTTAGTTTTTTTTATAAAGTGGCCAAATCTGTTTAGAAATGAGAATTTCCAGCTGTTGTCTTAACACCCATCATTTCCTGTTCTGTTTTTAAGATTTGCATCTTTCAAACTATTCCTTCAATCAGATGTTGCAGAATCTGCTGAGAGCATCCTCTGGCACTGATCTACCTTCAGGCTGCCTCACTGTGGACTCTGTTTAGAACATAATAATCCTGCTTGTTGCTGCAGGGGATTAAACTGGATTAGACAATCTCTGACGGTTGAACTGTGCTTCTTTTCTTATACACGATGAGACCAATGAGTGTGTTCTAACCTGTGTGGACTTCATCTGTTGGTAAACTTCTACACCGGACACTTCACCTTCTGAACACATTACATGAATACAAGCAGCTGGATGGAAGTGCTGTTGTCCTAAAGTACCTGACAAAGTTCTGTTTTTGTATATTTTTACTGATTTCATCCGTAAAGTCCGTGAACATGTTCACTGATGTCACATCAACCAGTGGTTCACTGGTTTGTTCAGAAAACGATGTCAGTATTTCCATGAGTTTGGAGGCCCGTTCCACGCAGTGAGACCTGAATCGTCCCATTTTAAAACAACCCTCACTTCTGCTGTTCGGACTGTCCTTGTTGGAAGATCTGCTGTGTGTTGAGTGCAAGGACTGTTTTAAATCCTCGTGCTTGGTCCTAAACTCACAGCTACTGTTTCAGCTTGCATCATTTGCTTTGGCCTTGTTGCAAACTGAATGGGTTGTGTGGAGTGGATAATAAAGGTGGTACATTTGTTTCAATAACACGTTTGTTCCTCTTTTCTTCTTGTTTAAAGCCTTTGCAGCTAAAGTTCAGCTGGTCAATAAACAGTTTATTATCTTAGTGAAACTGCTTCATGAATATGCAAAGTTGTGGTAAACATTGTAAAATATTGTGCGGTTTGTGTGCAATTTATTGGAAATGTTTGCATGATCAAGATTTTTCATTTTTATTATGACCTGCCTGTTTTAGATGGTGTGTTGTGTTTTCACGTGTTTTTAAAGATTTCACAGGTCGTGTTGAAACAGCAGTGAAGGCTGCCTGTGGGACACGTGGTGGGCCGGTCGTGGACTGATGAAGTCCTCTGGATGGAAGATGAAACGTTTCTCACTTCAAGAAACTGGTCCAGATGACACCATTTCATCTTTTTTGCCCCTGCCCTAATGATTATATTTAGTATTTAAAACGATTTAAAATGAACAAACAATTCCTGAACAAAATTCAGATTTGTAACTTTGGTAATGTAAGAAAAAATAGTCAGTTTAGTTTTTAAAATGCTTTAAACACTCATGGCGGTGGGTAAAGTCAGTGACACTTTTATTTTTGTCTGGTTTTATTTGTATTTTTTAGGGTGCAGTCAGTTGTAGCAGTAACAAAGGGTGACCCCTCCACTACATTTATTTTATTTATTTAGCTCTCGTTAAAATGTGGCACCAGCTGGTCACTTTACTGACCAACAACAACTTATTTAATATTTTCACCCTTTAATGATCAGAATCAGTCACTGAAGTAGAATCTGTTCATTACAGGGAGTTCTACCAGAACACATGAATATTCATCTGGAGCAAGAGACCAAAGTTGTTTTTGAAGTTTTATTACAAAAATAATCAAACTAAGAATCGACAACAATAATAATGAATCAATCAAGGCTTAATTCTCTTATCTAAGGAGAAATTGACTCTGAGCAGGAATTATTTCAGTTTTATACGCGCATGATTTAGACAAAAAGTTTGAAGATTTTAATAAATAGTTTACTTTGGATTTTGGTTGAAAGAAGTGATTTAATGTGATCAGATAAAGTCATTTATTGTCACTGCAAGCAGGAAATGATTTACCAAGTTGCATCAGCTAAAAATAACATAACCAGACCAAGAGTTGCATCATGTCATCAGGTTCTGCTCCTTACCGGGTCAGTGTTGACGGCACCACTCATCTTTTTGGGGTTCTGTGGTGGATCAGACCAGGGACACCATGACGAGGACTACTTGTTGGGTTCAGGGACACATCCATAACCCTCATGCTTAAATACTTTTCTTCAATTTATCTTGTGCAACATGACAACTGAGACCTGTTGGTACAAGTTTTATACTTTTAAACATGGGGTACTTTTTTCATTCAAGACACTCTTGATTAACAACATTTTTATTTTCAACTTCCAAAAATTACAGTTTTGAGAAAATGAACAGAATCAAAAACCTCTTTAAAACTTTACATATTCACTTAATGAACATAATAAATGTATTTCCAGTTATTACAGAAATGTGTAGCTACAACTGAGCAGACTCGTGACAGCAGTCAGAGCAAGTAGTGGAGCTGCGTTTGGAAACGGATCGATGCTGGAACATAATGTGCTTCTGGGGGTCCTCCCCAGAAAACATTGAATAAAATGGATGTGATTTCCTGCATTTTGGTGTATTTTAACAGCTTGTCAAACATAGTGCTTGTAAAAAAAAAAAGCAATTGTATTTATTTAGGGCAGCACGGTGGCGCAACTGGTAGAGCTGCTGCCTCTCAGCGAGCAGGTCCCTGGTTCAAACCCCGGTCCAGGGGCCTTTCTGGGTGGAGTTTGCATGTTCTCTCCGTGCATGCGTGGGTTTTCTCCGGGTACTCCGGTTTCCTCCCACAGTCCAAAAACATGCATGTTAGGCTGATTGGTAACTCTAAATTGTCCCTAGGTGTGAGTGAGAGAGTGAATGGTTATTTGTCTCGTTTGTCTCTATGTGGCCCTGTGATGGACTTGCGACCCGTCCAGGGTGTACCCCGCCCCTCGCACAGTGATTGCTGGACATGGGCACCAGTGACCCCCGTGACCCAAAAATGGAATAAGCGGGTAAAGAAAATGGATGGATGGATGTATTTATTTATTTTGGTGGACCCCAGTTTGAAATCCGATTTAAATTATATTTGATGACTGTGCATCTAGTGGCTAAAATGTCCATACATTTGGGTCATTCAAAAAATGTTAAACCTTAAGAGGAAAAAAATAAGTTTAGTAATTATATTTTCATGTGATCCTGCATTTACAATATTTTTATTCGTTTGTTTTCCAATGACCCCGTCCAAACCATTTACTTTATTTTCCTCTTTCAAATAATCAGAAATAGAAAGACCGACGGTCTTACCAATAAAAACACTAACTGCTGAGACTGACTGTCCATCCTCCCACCCTACCTTCATCCCTCATCAATCACTGGGAGGATTTATTGTTTTTACTGGTAAACAGGATTTGGCTCTTTAGAAAAAACCAACCAGATGAAGCTGAGGTGTAGTTCAGTCAGCGTCCTGCTGGGGGCGGTGGAGTCGCTCTGTGGAGTTCAGGACTGGACTGCAGACACTGAAGAGGGACGCACCTGCCACACACAACACGCGCACTTTACATTTTATAAAAGAACATCTAAATAAATCATATTAGAGGCCAAAATGTCTCTAACTAAACGAGCTATTTTCACTGATCCTGAGCTGAAAGTTAACCAGTTCATCGCTGAGAAGTCCTCTCCAGCAAGATCTTTGGTTAAAACTCTGTCATCTCTTAAATTCAGCTCACCTGTTAGCAAAATATCTCATGCACACTGGAAGGAATGCTAGAAGGTGCAGTAGGTACTCGCTTTCTGCAAGTTGAGCTGTTTTTATTAAGCTGTTAAATCAGCTTAAAGATGTAAAAGATGATTATTCTGTTGGATTTGACCCCAGAATTCATCCCGTCTGCACACCTGCCAGCCACATTACAATAAATAAATAAAATAAATAAATGACTGACCTTCAGTCACGCACATGAACAAACCAGCCTGTCTGGAGGTTTAGTGTGTCTTTGTAGTGTTAAGCTGAAACTTGTGAAACTTTCAGCAGTTTATTCACAACAAAAAGAAGCTCTAATGTTCCTGATGGGGTCAGGAACCGTCTCCTGGAGGTCTCAGTGTGTTTCTTACTCAGATTAGCTCGAAGCAGCAGAGGAGGTGCACTGACTTACTGGGAGCGCTCCTGTGGGAGCGCTGGGAGGCCCTGAGCCCCTCTGAGCTCAGCCGAGGCAGCGGCGGCCTCACGGGCCTCGGACGAATCCCAGCATTCCACTGGGCCAGGCCAAGCAGGCTTATGGCGGTCCCCTTGGTGAGGGTGGGGGCCTCTGGAGTCTGAGATGTAAGTGAGGGGTGAGTTTGGGTCTGGTGAGGGGGGTCAGGGGGAGCTGGGGGCTGTTGGACTCTGCAGCTGGAGGTGAGCAGCATCTGGAACAAAGACACAAAGTCAGACCAGAGATGATCAATGAGCCGCACCCCTCTACCCAAACTGTACCCCCCCCCCCCCCCCCCACACACACACACACACACACTGAACAACCCATCATTAACAGCACTTCAGCTCCTTAGCTGCTCCAGAATGCATGACGCCAGCCTCCAGGGACCCCCACCCCGGTGCCGCTGCAGGCTCGTGGCGGTGGGGATGGATGGAGTGAATTACCAGAGACTTGGCTTTGCGCAGTTTGTAAGAGGCCTCAGACAACGGCTTCTTCCTCCCCCCGTTCAGCTCAGCTGTGCTGCTGCAGGTGGGGGCTCTGCCGCTCGTTTGCCTGAGGAGAGACGTGAACATCTGAATGTTTTTATGATAAATCAAACTTAACTGAGCAGCTGCACGACCCTGACGAGGGTCAAGCAGTTAGAAATGATCCAACTCCATCATTTACAGAGGCCCTGAGGTTTAACAGAACAACGTTTGAAAAAATGGAATTACATTATAATAATAATTGTTGTTGTTGTTGTTGTTGTTGTTGTTGTTGTTGTTGTTGTTGTT